ATTTAAGATGATTAAACGAAGCTCTGTATATACAGTAAGTCAGAAAATGTGCTTAATTCTTCATCCGAAAACATAATTTAATTGAAAAAGTTGAATGAAACAAAAGTTTCTCAAAATCATCATGTATTTTGAATACAGGAAACATTTGATACTTAAAAAGTGGGACAATATAAAGAATATCTAAATGTTTCAATATTCTGGTGACGCAAAATTCGGTAATATTTTTTTTATATAAATAATGATTTTTGGAACTTGAAAAATTGACAAATCTTAGAGATCCTGTAAAACAAACTTTTTATGTTTTCTTATCACATATATATGATGCTCAAGTTAAGATTTATCAATTGTGTAGTTGGAAAAAAAGCATCATTTATAAAGTTTTTACCGAATTACACAATACATTCATGTTAATAAAGGGAGGTAATAAAAAAATATTTTTCTAAAAAAAGTCTACGTCAAATTTTTCAATAAAAAATGAATGCATATATTTTAATGATTACATATATTAACATGAACACATATTGGCAGTACATATTTCACAACCATATTCTTCGATGTTTGAAAACTGATTTATTTATTTTTTCCAAATGTTGTTTCTAAATTTCAAAATTTCACAATTTTCGTGTTAAATGTTGAATTCTGTTTAAGCCGGTGATGGGGGGGGGGGGGGTGTGGACGGTAATTTGCACTTTCCAGTACCGTCCATGAGCAGGCTCAATTAAACCGAGCCTGCAACATTTTCAATTTTGACGTGTTGGACTTTCTTTAGGGATTCTGTTTGTCTCTATTTTATTGTCACTTCCGTGTTTCGCTGTAAAAAGTCTCCCGATACATCAATAATGTTATATTTTCGATCCTTGAAGATCGATTGGCACGACATTATTGTTGTGTATACATGTTATGTGGTACTTTTAGTTTTTTCTATCCAGCCTTTTTTCTATTTGGGTGGTTCCAGTATTCCTACTTGAATACTGTATAATCATATTCTTTTACTTGGGGACCATACGCCGCTTTTCATGGAATAGCACTACTGTGTCACATTGAAGGTTCAATGATGACCGCCGAATGAACACATCTGCGGATGTTTCTAAATTCAAAATTTCACCATTTGCGTGTTAAATGTTGGCTCAATCAAACCGAGCCTGCAACATTTTCAAATTGAACTTTCTTTAAGGATTCTGTTTTTCTCTATTTTGTAATCATAATTATATACATATATTATTTCACATAATTATGAGAAACAATCTCAATTACAACATAGTCATTAGTTAATTTTTATTACAGGTCAATCCCTATGAGGGTCACTTCGTTTTTGGTTCTTGATTGTCATAATTTCACTTAATTATTACAAAGGGAGTAAACATCATGAATAAATGAATAACCAGTTCATCACCCTGGCGATTCACCCATAAACTGTTTCTTCCCCTGACAGTTCTTCCTTTATTTAAAACATAATCAGCTATCCGCCCCCCCCCCCCCCCTTAAAAAAAGATATTCATCATTATTTATTTCCATCATTTATTTTTATAAAGTTATTTTATTGTTATTTTTTTTAACATGATAAGAAGTATTGGAAGAATTTTTACTTAAGAAGGCCAACTCTCGGTTAAAATTTCTTTACCGCAAGAAAGAGTTTCTTACTCAGCATACCAAGAAACTTCTGGTTATGTCTCTTATTCAGTGTCACTATGATTACGCATGCTCTGTTTGGTATAATAGCTTGACACAGTCTTTAAAAAATAAGTTACAAACTTGTCAAAACAAAATAATGAGATTTGTACTTGACTTGGACTCTAGAGCCCACATTGACCCATCCCACTTTAAGTCCCTTAACTGGTTACCGGTCCACAAAAGAGTTGAACAGATAATGTTGTGTCATGTTTTTAAGATAAAAAATGGCCTATCTCCGGATTACATGTCTGAACACTTTATTTCACAAGATTCCATTCATAATTATAGTACAAGACTTAGTCAAAAGGGTGGATATTGTCTACCTAAGGTCAAAGGCCAGGGTTCTAAATCATTTGCTTTCTCTGGTAATTAAATTATGGAATGATTTACCTGTAAAGTTAACGGAGATCAACAGGTTACAAAGTTTTAAGGTTGCCATCAAAAGTCATCTTATGAACAGTATTTAAAAATTTTTTTAAACATGTTTTTACATATTTTCGGCTCAGGATTTTAAATTGTCTGCCATTTATCTTATTACAATTTTAGTAATGTGTTTTAAATCCTAGCTGTAAACAGGAGTATCATTAACTCAAGATTTGACTGTGATATACATTTTTATGATTTATTAGTATTCTTAAACATGATTATTTTAAGGTTTGCCTCTCTATGTCATGCCGCCAATACAAAGGACCACAATGGAAATAAGAGCTTTTTTGCCCTTTTTTGTGTTATCCTTGGTTTTGGTGAGCATGTCATAGTTTTACTCGTATGTGATATAGTATTTAATAATGCTCATTATTTTATCCTATGTTATATTGTCAACTATGTATATGCTTCCTTTGCCGAAATAAATCTATAAATCTATCTATCTATCTACTATATTTCACCATGATAGCATAATTGGCATTACGCCAGAAATGTCATTCGGGATAAAACTCGAGTGTCTTACATTGTTTTAATAACTTTATGTTAAATTTAATGTTACAGTAGGACTATACATAGAGAATAACAGGTTACTGTCTTTTGAGAAAGGGTTTCTCAGACGAGGTTAGATATGGTCCTGGAAGAAGCCTCGCCCCTTCCGGACCATATCTAGCCGAGTCTGAGAATTCCCTTTCTCAAAAGACTGTAACCTTTTATTTTTTCTATCATGCCTCTATTATGATTTTGCATCTTATTTTCTTTAATTCAGGGCGCTAATTCTGAAAGTAAGGTAACCACAAGAGGGTTATACGCCAAAAAAGTAGTTCGAGGGTTTTTACCAATAATTTTATAACACAACACAATTTTTGGTACAATTTGCTTTAACAATTTATTTATTGTGTATTATCATAAATATTCAGCAAAGTCAATTAAACAATACCAACAATATACATCATCAGTGCTGATCTGGCGTAGGAACATAGTGTTCTCAAGTCACTGACTGAGAAAGGTTGCTGTTCTCAGACAGGCTTTATCAGGCAGTTGTCATAGTAATGGCATGTTAAATGCATGTACAGGTGTAAAAGTGGACCGTCTACTCATGTATGCCCGTCAGGTTAACTCAATAGGTAGAGCGTTCGGTTGTTAATCGGGCGACCCGAGCGGTGCAGGTCACTTTTCGTTGTAATTGATCATTAACACCATTTTTACGGGCATTCGCACTGTACCTCTGCTCATGCATGAACAGAAGTTATCCGTTTCTTGCGAAAATAAAGGCAAATAGTACTGGTGTAACCACAATACGGCGTTAAACAGAGAAATTCTTCTTTAATGAAAAAGAAAAAAACAATTAAAACAAATTTTTAACAAGAATATACGCATTGTACAGTGTTGTACATATTTTTTATTTTCTTTCGTATAATTGTAAACATAAATGACGATTTGTTTCAAGTATCGTTTCATTTCACATTATATTTATTATAATATAATAAAATATTATTGTCATCATTGACTAGTATCAAAATCGTTTCTTCATGGTTCTCATCAATATAAGTAGTCTTTTTTAAAATGGCATCACCAAAAGATATGTTTTCAATTCATGTTTGCTTATAAATATTTACATTGATGAATTTGATTAATGTACGTTGATTTAAGATTCGAGCTTACCATTGTAAGGAGGTAGTTTTGTAAGAATTGTTTTTAGTTTGCATTGCCTACAAGCGGTAGACATTTTAATCCTATACATTGCTGAATGCCTGAAATAGACTTATCCCTTCTTCAATCTGGACAAAACCATTCGTCATTTATTGGAAGATTTCTAAACGATACCGCCGGAATAGCAATTATTAGTTTCCGCCAGGCAAAGGATTTAAAACATTTACCAGGATTGTAAAACTGCAGTACATGTATATACAATTCTTGGTTTAAACATATTTTTATTCAAGGTAATATATACATGTAAATAATCTACAATTGAAGCGGAAAGGAATTCGACCGAGAGCTACAATAGCTCATGGTAGTCCTCTCCTTTACACAATTCTTGCAACCGGTAAATATGCCAATATCATTCTTCCACCAGCATTTGGTAATGAAGTTATTCTATTTTGTTGTACATGTGATGACAACGAAGAATATGCGGAAAGAACTCGTGTGATTATTTGTAAAAAGGGAAATCCTTTTCAGGATGGAAGGATATGTCTCAAAGTATTTTTTTTTCATATCTCAGAGAAAACAACAATTTACAACAAATTTCACAAAATATGTAATTTGTAATCATAACAATACATTTGAAAAATACAGTTTTGTTTTTTGAAATGATTTCTTTACGTACGTACCTATACGTACCATTTAGTATCATTTAAACTTAGCCAACCAGTAGTTAGCAAAATCAAAACATGCCCTTCTAACATTTAATAAATCATTTTTTCTTCAGTGTCAACATTTTTTTATGTTTTATAAACCTTTTTATTTACATAACTTTCGAATTGCACTGTCACTGTTGCTTAAGCTGCTGCTTTTATAACCACACTTGGTTAGTCTGAAAAGTGTTTGTATTTCTGGTGTTTCTGCATACCATACATTTCGTACGCCTCTTCGCATTCTTTTTTGCAGTCTCACATTTCGACGCACACGTTTAGATCTCTCCTTTGTACATTGTAAATCCATTAGATTTTATATTTCATGTATGCACTATTACATCATCATATTGGATTTTTTTCTGTGGCTGTTCTAACATTCTTTTTGTTTTTCTTTACGATCACATGTGTTAAAAAATATGTTTTTCGTGTATCGTATCTGAATTTAATAACATATTTTTTACCTTTCCTTTTGACCTTATTTTTGCATTTGAATTTAACAATATACGTTGTTCCTTTCCGTTTGACCTTATTATTGTATTTGACTTTAACAATATACTTTCTACCTTTCCCTTTGACTTAATTATTGTATTTGAATTAAACAAAATAGGTTCTACCTTTACGTTTGACCGTATTATTGTATTTGAATTTAACAATATATTTTCTTCCTTCTCCATTTACTCTGCTCAACAGTTTCATGTTTAAAGTAAAGTCATTTTATTCTACATCCATCTAGATTTCCTGTCTGAAGGTAGCTAGTACCTGTACAGGTTCCGTTCCGATCAGCTGACTGTGATCTGCCATTGAACGCAAGATGCATTTGAATTTTAGATACAGATCCATTGCGGCGTGACAAAATCATCGCATTTTCCATGTTGATTTCACTATACACAGACAAATGCGGCTCGTTACCTCCATGTCCTGCAAAAATATGATTAATATCGAAACGTTAGTTATATCGTTGCTTTGAAACATTATTTTCAAATAATTTGTGTGTGTGTGTGTGTTTTTTTTACAAAAAATGACATTATGAACATTTAAAATTTTTTATAAGAGAACAATTCTGTGAAGTGTACAAATTTAATTGTGTTCCTAATACTTAGCATTTTTTAAAACTTGTCAAAATGTTAGTCATATACAAACATTTTAATAATATTAATAATAACAAATACAACATGTATATAAATATAATAATAAATTGTGAATATTTTTTACATTAATAAATTTTGTTGTTCTTCGTATGTTTTGCTTATAATATAAATTTCTTTTAAACGTATTGTCTAGTAAAGGAGTCTCGCTTTAACGTTAAAAAATCGGAACATTTCTTAAGAAAGGAATTTCAATGACCTTGTTTTTCTCAATTTATAGAAAACCTATAGTAATATATGCTGCTATTTTAAGTTGCGTTTTAAATGTTAATAGCATGATTCGGTTTCAAGGCAATATACTATCATATTTCTTCCTTACAAGTAATTTGAAAATATTCTTTTCTTAAAACTATTTCAAGCAGCAGTTTTATAGCTTAATACGTACGTGTTAAGACAGTAGGAAAATGACAAACATTTTATTACCGCAGTAAAGTACCGTTTAGAAACGATCAAAAGAAATAATGATGTGTAGTATTTGTAAGGAATTATTATACTATGCTTTGATAGAATTACAAATTTATAGAAATGCTACAGTCTTGTGTAATATAAATAGCATTTTAGTTCAGTTAATGGATGGTTTAAGAGTGCATTTAAAGAATACAATGTCGGATCGGATGAAACACGTTTTAAAATTTCATGATTGTTTTCAATGTATGAATGTTTTGTAATTAAGAGGCGATCCAACTAAAGTGATGCCCGAAGTAAACCTGTTTTAATATTCTTTTTTATAAAAGAAGTATTTGCAAAGACATCATTTTTAATTTCATTCGGAAAAAATAATAAAACAACCAATTGAAAGTAAATACGCTTTAATATACTAGTTTACATGCTATCTAACGTCAATGTACAAACTAGCAAAGTTTGCAGCAATTTTCTTCTTTGCAAGTTATTTAATTTAACAACAAGCAATTCACAAGAAATATTTTTGTTGTTTTATGCTGTCATACATAAAATTAATTTAATATTTTTCAAACATTTCTTGAAATATAATTTCATCATTTATTTCAAGAGCACTGACAAATATTATTTGGAAAAATATGATTTATAAATAGGTAGTATCATTAATTTTGTTGTCAAGACTGATCTTTTACCGTTCACTTTAAATTATTTATCTTTGGCTAAAATATGTGAATAACTCACCTTTTAAGAGTTACTGTAATAATTAATTTGATAACAACATACTGACTTAATATATAAAAAATGTCTGTGATATTATACTTTTTAATAAATAATGTTATTCATATTTTGTAACACTCATAGCAATTAATATAAAAATAGTTCAACTATTACTTTTTTGTTTTTATTGTTGTTGTATGTTTTTTAAAAAAAAACATTCTGCCAATAAGAGCGATTACTGTATTTTTTTTCCTTCTGAATGTTTATTCGACTTGCAAGAATCTACTTTTTATTAATTTAGTTAATTTTGATAATATATGTTGCGAATTTAAAAAGTGACGGGTATTCACAGGTGCACGCTCATAATCTAAGTAGTTTTCTATCTAATGCTATAATAAAGTTGTATATAACAGTCTAAAGCATCATGTTCTGAACTGTGGTCGATAAATAGTCTACTTACCACAACAGAGAATACGTTTGAAGGCACGTCTGAACTTCACGGACATGGCATTATAAAGGATCGGATTGATAGCGCTGTTGATATAAGCCATTGTTCGACAAAACATAAGGAACCACGGATCGAGATACTTCTTCTGGGCAATGGAATTGTAAACCACCATTGTCCTGTATGGCATCCATGTGGTCATGAAGACGAACACTATTACGGCCAACATTCTTACGACCTAAAAAATAAGAATAATTGAAATATCACAACCTAATAGAATTGAGGTCTAAAAGCGTAATATTAAAGAAATATGATATTATATACAGAAAATTTGCAAAGAAAATAGAAAAAAATACACACAGAGATAAATCTCAAATCGATTATTTTTGTGTGACTCTTAGACTGTTTTGAGTTAATGTTTTCATTTTGTGTCATTAAGAATAGCTACAATCAAAATGATTCCTCTTAAAACGCGGAATGAGCGAATTGTTCTCCGTCATATTGTTTGTCCCTACATATCAATTTGTTCACAACATAATTATTTCTGAATTTTTTCTCTCTTGTCTTCTCGATTACCAGACAATTTTCAAGGAAATTTATGAAATTTATGTTATATTTACGGGCATAATTTCAAAATAGATAAGACAAATTTGCAAGATACTGGTTAAAAAGCTGCAACTGTCTTCTCTATTATTGTTATGCTTTTGAAAAGACATAGGGCACTTGTCACGAAATGAACTTCTAGCTGCGAAATAAAAAAATCTAATATGGCTTCTTTTTTCAACTACAAAGATGCAATGGCACAAAGTAATAATATGATCTGACAATCACTGTCATAGTTACTTAAATGATACATATCAAATCCAGAAACAAAAAAGAAGCGAACATTTTACGACCTATTTCTTTAATTTAATACAAACTATTATTATATAAATGCCCGAAAAATGTTATTGATTTTGTTTTCTATTTCTCTGTAACTCTGTATATAAATTTAATTTGGGATTTTAAGGTATTGACTGCCGCCTAAAAACGCGAAAACATACGTAGAAAAAAGAATCCGTTTCTCTAAAAAAAAAAAACACAAAAAAACAACAAAAAAACTCATGACACCAAGTACTAGTGCTAGTGTAGTAAGTGAACGTTGTAATGCATTTTATAATACGAGTTGGGTTTTTTTTCAAATAAATTTATAAAAATTTGTTTCTGTATGTTAGTTATTGTAGTGCAAAGAAACGTCATTATTGCGCAAACAATTTGCATAATCAAGTGACAAAATGTTATATTTCTTGTATGAAAATTTAAATATTTAAAATATAGTTTAATGACATAAACAGAGGATATTGATTAAGTGTAGGTTTAATATTAAATTTATTGAACGAGTAGAGTTAAATCATATTTTGCGAGCCTCCTGGGAGCATATTATAGTTTCAATAAATATAGTATTGAATCTACACGTATATAATATTCTATTTATCACATATATAAAATAAGAAGGGTAAACTATTAAAGGGCGTAATTTGTCATTGCCGCGCATATAGTATAACGCTAAAATTGAGCGCGTAAAGCGCTATGATTATATGAGGCATATAACGTCATGTCAAAATACATTCACGGAAGTGAAATACAATTTTTTACGGAGTCGCCAAGACCGCACAAGTATGTGATGGAAAACAACATTAATGATTTGATAAAATTGTGTATAAATACATTAATTTTGGAACTACTTCCACTGATTTAGGATCAAAGTAATATTGTAATTCTGAACACAAATGTTGATTAATGTTCAACATTCTACACATATATGCTTTGATAAAGAAACGTGTAACTAGTCAGGTCAAAACAACAGTACTAAACCATATAATAGACGGTGGTAATTGTCGGTTATTGCTAGGATGTTTTTCACTTAATTGGCATCTTTTAAGAAATAAATAACAATCAATGCATATATGGTGTTTAAATCATGTTTACTTAAATTACTGAAACAGTCTATGCATCTTGTCACAATATATTTAGCGGATTGCGTGAGTTGTCAGCGCTACTGTTAAAAAGAATAAACAATATGTTCCAATTCAAAGGTCATTGTTTATCAGAATTGTTTTTACCTCAATGAAAGTTTCCGGAACAGTGTTTGCCTTAGTATTTTATACAAATATATGTTTCCATAAAACACTTCATTTACCGTAATTGTGTCCGTCATTTAACAACATTGCTTCTGAAATAATCTTAAATTTACATATTCCGTCATCATTATCATGTTTCCTTTATGTTGCTAGATTTACTTATCAATAATTATTTCAAAACATCTATAGAGTTGTCTGATTGAGTAGATTAAGGCAATTGTGTATTTGTTGTTTGTTTTGCTATTCACCTAATATGTTATTTACTTACGCTAACAGAAAACGTTATTTTAAAAAGAACAATTAAAACATACTAATAAATAACAGTTGACTTTCGTTTCTCTAAAAAATGCTATGAAAATTTGAAATGTAATAAACTTAACCTCCTGATTGACTTACGTGCACACGTTCGTAAGATTACATTTACATGTTTATAGGGATGTATTTTTCAAATGAGTGGAGTGTTTGTAAATACTTTTGTTTTATATAACAAAAGAAAGAGACTTGAATTTTTAGCAATTGTTTGTTATAACAGTTGTATTCAGTTATAGCATTCGTTCTACACGTTTGAAAATGAATCCAACGGATATCAAATTGTGCATTGCTTACTTCGGCAAATGGAAAATATGCTATAGATTGATAATTTCTTGAAAATCAATTGCAGTGTTGAAACATAACATATATTTTTTTCTAGTTCTGTTCAAAATCAACTTACAATTACAATGTCTCTAATGATAAAAAGTTAAGATTCATTTATCCTCGAAATTTCCAGAATTTTGTTTATGGAACCTAATCTGACTATGTGTGCCACTGTAATTGATATGGAAAGCCACTGGCATTTATATTTAGTCCTTTATTGCCAAATATCTCTTTTTTGCTCTGTAACTCTATATTATGAGACAGTTGGACGAGCTAAAGGCTCGTTTTAGGGAAAAATAGACAGTTAAATCAATCTAAGTCTAGAATACAATTTTCTAACCACACATGCTATAGATTTAGAGTGCTATTTCATTTACATATTCAATTGCTTCAGATTTACGATGCATAGGTTGTTTAAGCAAAATGATAAATGTTAGGATATAAATGAATAAGAACATTCTATAAACTGTAAAGTGATTTCCATTAATTTTAATATAAAACATAATCATTGTAACAGTAGTCAAAAGGTATCGAAAATCTACATACATATTCGATAACTACTATATTTAATTTCAAGTAATTAATTAAAATTGATAATTAGTTAAATAGTTGATATTTGAATGTGTTTTTCATATATATTGTATTCTTTAATATTTTACTGTCTTGTTTGGTTAGTACACTGTAAAGGTTACTTCCAAGGGGCCTTTACTTGTAAAGAAGAGCCTCAGATGTCCCATCCGATCATTTTTATGGGCACTAGTGTGCACCTCAGAAAAAACCTATGATGTTCCAGGAGTTATTTGAATAGCCCATTTCACTACGATTTCTCACGTAAATTAACGAAGTGCTACGATCAGATTCCGAGCATATAATCAACTGACCAATCAAATGTTGGTGGATGCATGTACAATCTATTACTAATAATAGTATTATAAAAATAAACAACGGAAATTAACATGGCGGATTCTTATCACAAAATTGAAATATTTCGAGAAATATGCCGTTATACTGCATAGTTAACTCATTGACGATAATGCATCAGTTTAAACTTCTCTCCTATACCTAACGCCACGATAACGAGTCGATATCGACTTTACACCTGTCCTGCATGCCACATATATGCGGCTAGATAAGACTTGCTTTACTTCCCGGTCGCCACGTTGAAGCGTCGTAAATCATTGGTTGTTTTCAAGGTATTCCCCGAGAATATTTAAATATTAGCCAATCAGAAATTGTCAGTATTTGAGCTTACATTTTAGACCGATGCGGAGGATAATCCATTGGATTCTGATAATGAAATGTTTAAAAGTAGGGATTTTGACTGAAGGGGATTATGTCCGTACACCAATATGAAAGTGTTTGTGGGAGTTTTCGAGAAGAATAAGCACTTTTTAATTCAATAAACACTCGCTCGTCAGCCACTGAATCACCCGCCATTATCGTAAATATAAACAATACATGTACACTCGAGAACCAGTATTTCATTGGTCAAACATATTAGCACTTTACCTCCCACGTGATGCGTGTCTACGAATGTTTCCAATGAATTACGAAAGGCTGGTGAAATGGGCTATTCTTCTTCAAAAGGACCATGGAATTCAAACCAAGAGCTAAAACGAGCAAGTAATTTGAAACCAAAAGAACATCCGGCAGTCCTTTATTTCAAAGGGAATAGAAGAAACCATATTTACACAAGTCACTGTCTCACTGAACCATTCATATATAGATCTTATTAACTCTCAATTAAACAAAAGACCCTATCATTCTATCACATGATCCATTCTGAAAATTCGTTAAAGCTTAAAGAGCAAATTTTTTGCACACTGATTGCTTTCACTTTTCTTTTTCAGTAAATTGAATTAAAATGTTACTAAATTCACGAAAATTGGCTATCTTTCTTTTCTCAGCACGTAATTGAATATAACACGTGATCTGTAATCATTATTTAATTGCGTGATTTTAATAACAAACGCTAATAGGAGAAACGCTATGACAATTGATTGCTTATATCACAATGCTATCAGATACCGCATTAAAAAGACAAAACAATAGCTTTCCATGACATTTATACGAGACGGGAAAAGATGTGGTGGAACTGTTTTAACAAGAAGAAGAGAAGAACACATGTACTTCAATAATGGGTATATGCTTTGATTTTGAATAAGCAGTAAATCCTAGACGTATACTAATAGTAAGAAACGTCAATTTAGATTTTGTTTTTCATTCATTTCTGTTATTTTTATGTATTTATTCAAAATATATGCAAATGTTAATGATTATTATCGACAATAATTACTCAGTATATCCATCACAAATATTACATTAGGTTATACAAGTATACCTTTATATACGTATTTGTAATTGTGTTTGAGCTGACTGATAAAATCATAATATAACTAAAAGTAATCCGAGGTTTTCAAACTTTCTTTAATAGTTTATTATTCATTTATCTATACTAACACATACATGAAAACAGTTTAATAAAATGAACATATAATTAAATTACGTCATCATCAAAGAAATGAAATGTGAATAATTTTAATGTTATAATATTGAACAATTTTTACAACAGTGTGTGAATATTCTTTTTTTATTTTAATGGAAGAATAACATATTCTTTAATTTGCATAAGTATATTGTTTCGAGATTCTATCAATTGAACAGACAGTTAAATGAGCCATGCCATGACAAAACCAACATAGTGCGTGGGCGACCAGCATGGATCCAGACCAGGCTGCGCATCCGAGAGTTTAGGAGAATTTGATTCAGTTTTTGTAAAAAGGGATTTCTCAACAGAAGGCCGCTCTTCAAAGATTAAATCTTACATTCTCTGTTAACGTCCAATAATAATATTATATATTTCATATAGCACTCAACTATCAATCAATGATTCGATATTACAAATATATCATAGATAGGATGGTGTTTAACTCTCCTTAAAGCATATTATAAAACATTTACATTTTAAAATTCCAAATCTTAATTTGATACACGCTTCCTGTAAAGGTGGAGATATAGTTTGGCATGTTAATTATGTTGCAATGCATGCGACTGTGGATTTATCCCGAATTAAATTGATGTTATATGATAGATGTAAGAAAGTTAAATTTATTAAACTAAAACTAAGATATTGAATAAAAAAATGTTGTTTCTATTATCTTATGTTCGAGTCACGAAAGAGTCATAACGTACAATGTTTCTGTTATTTCACACATATAAAAATTGTCTGGAACAAAAAGTAATGGTTCTTTATTGAAACAGGCAATAGAAACACATTTAGCAATGATTTCGTGCATGCGCCATTCGCTTGTAACGAAATATGCAAACATACGTACAGCCATTTTGGCATGGGAGAGTACAATTTTGTAAGATACAGGCATCAAAGATATAGCTTTATACCCTTTTAAGAGGATGATGACACCAGTTTCGTATACTTTTATCAAAAATATTTAATTCTTTTGTAAGAATACTTCATATATTGATATAAATGTTAATGCTATGTGCGACGAAGACACATGTTGCTTTGTTGTTTTTTATCTGCCAAAAGATAATAAATCAAGTATCTGCGGAAAGAGATTATCATTGTTTTGCATAACGCATACATGATACCTCTGACAAACAAGCAAAAACCCGTCCGACCTTGTTTGTGTCATATATGGAGGTAAAACAATAATATATATTTAGATCAACTTTACCTGCATTCGTGCGGTAACTTGACGCTTTCTGCATCTTTTACGATTCATAATTACTTCAGAGCTCTCTTGTGAAATATTTGTCTTGAACAAAATTCTCGCAATAAGTCCATAAAGTACAGCAGCAATTAAAAGTGGGACGATATAAAACAGTATTAAATCTGTCATGTAATAAGCCGTGTACTGTTCCCGTTTAAGTCGAACCTGACATACATCGACGACAGTGTGTTTCCTTTGCTGTTGTAAAAGGACAGTCAAACCAAGCCACGGCGAACAATATAAGATTCCAAAAATCCAGATAACTGCTATAATTCTTTTGGCTCTTTTTACTGTACACATGGTTTGTGATCTTAATGGATGGCATATTGCTATATAACGTTCCATTGTAAAAGCTGTGATGGACAATGCTGATGTGTCAACACCAAGGTATTGTAAGAAAACAAGAAGTGAGCACATTACACGGCCAAAAGGCCATTCGTTTATTTGATAAAATGTTTCTGGTATTGCTGGTAACGTTGCGGACATGAGAACTAAACAATCTGCAATGGCAAGGCTCATCAAATAACAATTAGTCGGGGTTCTCATACTCCTTGTTCGTATAACAACAATGACGACAAGAATATTTCCGACGATCCCGACAAGAAAAAGTATTATATTAATCGTTAATGAAATGATTCTGTACAATGAGCTGTAGTTCAATATAACTGATGTCCCCATTTTGGAAATAGTTTCTTTAGTTACATTTTCAACTAACGAGCAATTTAAATCCATCTTGATTTTTGTTTCTAGATAAACGGTCAATTATTATTCCAAGAGCAATTTCTGCAAATACAATTTAACCGATAAATACATTTTTATCGTTATTTGTTTACCATTTTATTTTGAAAATGTTTTCACACCTATACACAGTTGCCATTTTGTTTGAGAAAAAAAAAGATAAATACTGTTTTCAAACAAATACACTTGTTAAATTCAATCACTCAAATAAAAAAATAGATGAATCACAAAACGTTGCAAACAATTAAAGCTTATGTGTACACAATCTCTATAACTCCAGCTGCCGTCTGTGAATGACGACAAAATCCAATTTGCCATCGTCTTTCTACACTGCTCTCCCATTCACCAATTTATTGGTTAGCAGTTACCACCACTAGATTTAGAGAGTGTCATCCCCTCGCCTACTTACAGCATTGGATGCAGTCCGTTGACAAATATATTTATCAAAGTAACAATCTTTATTTAAAGCCTAATTAAGGCCCTAAAATGCTATATTTTTGATTTCGCATACGCTTTTCTACTTTCAATTTTCAGTTTTAAAATGTCATTCAAAATGCTTGATACATGCAATCTACAATTGTTTTCATATGTGTTCGTTTGTTTGTATGTCATCTTTATTTATATTAATTATTACTCAACGCTATTTTTCTCAGGTATTAACCGTCTTATATGCTTTAAGTTTTTTTTCTGTTAATATGAACAGTACGTTCTTCTTTCATGAGATGAGAAATTTTAGTCATTACTGAGGAAAAGTGTATGCCTTTAAAAGAACAGGTAATTGATAACAGTGTTTTGCTTCGCATCCGATTCAAAATATATTTCAAAAGTTGGAATTTTATGGTCTCAAATCAAAGAAGGGAGGTAAATTTTTTTTACATATTTCTTGTCATTTGAAACGTTATGAAGCCTGCATTTCACAGATAAATAAATAAATAATAAACCTTATTAGTATTTTACTCGAATATCAGCATGGACTGATTTTAATATGCCGGAACGGGAAGTAAGTAGCAGTCGACGCAAGTATAGATCAAGGCAAACTCGTGCGCTCGAGCAATTTGATGAGGTTGTTGGTGTTTTAAGATTTTTGTTTTCAAATGGGTACTATTTGGATGACACCGTTATTTAATTGGTAATGATATAGACCGTTATCATTAATAGTAAAGACAACATTTATTTAACAGAAAATTTATAATTTCCATATTTAGCTAGTTTAATATAATAAACATTTTATATCTCTTGTAAAATAAAAATCTATGATAGACTGATATAAAGCGCTCATTTCTACACTTTTACATAGCGAAATGTTTTGTTTTTAAGATTTATGAAACAAAAATTACTTAAAACCACAAACGAAATTCAATATGTTTATAACTGATAAAAATAGTTAATAAAGAAAGAATATAATTATTTTGTGAGCAGAGCAAATGTTAAAAAAATATTCCATTTGAATCCTTAACATCCGCGGGCAATTCTGCGGGATTTGTTCCCTAGATCCACATTAAATAATAAAATGTTAATGACAATTCGCTTCGAATGCGGAAATTAAGTTGAAAATGACATGCTTTGAGCTAGTTTATCAAAAGATTACAAACTACAAAAAGGAAACCTTTTCTGAGAATGAATGTTTTTTGGGGGTTGGTTTTCTTTTCAAATTGCTATGAACACTATTTTTGTTTCTTTTACTATTCACTCTTCCTTTGAAATGTTTAAATTTATTTAAATTGAGTGATTTATTATTATATTTTGATATGACTGGAAATAATTTTACGTGATTAGTACTCAATTTGATGTAGGTATATACCATTAACATATATGCACAATTTCAGATCATTCGCTCACTCATTCACTCAAATCGGGCAACATACGAGTTTTAATATATTGGTTAATATATTTCTTAGTTATCTTTTATGGGTATATCTGTTTAAAGTGTCTAAGCTGGTCTGAAATAACAAATTTGTGTTTTAGGCTTTTTGACCTCAGTGGAGTACATTTAACATTAACTATTTAAAGATTTAATGATAGTTAACAATTCCTTACCAATCAGGTAAAAGTGTCTTTTAATTATGGTCAACAGAAATGTTCTTTCAATGCAGATAGCAAATTACTTAAATTATAATAGCAACACAGTTTTGTCGTGCTGTAAATATAATCAAAAAAGAAATAAACTTAGAAAGCCATTAGTACTTAAAGGTTAGAGGTAAGATTTCAAATACTGCATTAAGTTTTATATTATATAGGTTTTCGACCTCAAGAGTATTTTGATCTTAGATAGTATAGTGATATTTCTAGGATTACAAATTTAATTTGTATCAAGGCTGGCATTACAAAAAAGTGGATACATCTGTTTTCCTTGTTTTCTCATTTCTTTTTTTTCATTATTTTTTCATTGTTGTTTTGATATGATACTGTACATATGTGCGAAATTAGCATCTTGACCGGGTATCAACAACTAATGAAAATTCAATTATAAAGTAGCAACTTTAAGGTTAATGAAATTAAATTATATATTTTTATATATAACATGTCAAGAGAAACAGTTGTTGTTATACATAACCTAGACACTGATCGTTCGATCAGGAACACACTAAAAAGAATCCTTCCCAACCCTTCAAAGAAAATACAAAAACGAGAAAAAAACAATAACAAATAAATATATAAATAAATAAATGCATACTCGTACATAAATAAATAAACGAATAAATAAATAAACAAATAAATAAATAAAACAGCATAAACGCACATACGTGCGCGTACAATTACAACCTCCTTGTGGCTAAGAGGTTGAATCAGAATTGCAGTCACCGTTGAACCGTGTGCGATCATAAGAGGCGAATAAATGTGTCCGATTAACTGGAGTCTATGCGTCTCTTAGCTCCAGCATGTGAGGTGGTTCTGACCCTAGTTATGCTTAAAGTTTGCAAAGTTAACCAAAATCAATTTCCTGTTTCGTCGACTACAGTATGTTGATGCGCAGTAAAACAAAACCAATCAAACAACATGAACAACGCCATTTTATCATTCACATAGTACTAATTAAACAAGCATTTTGCTTATCTTGACAAATCATGAGAGAAAAAAAATGACAGGGTTTCATTGAAAGCTAAAATAAGTCATAAAATTATTAATCAGTCTTAAACAATTCTTAAACAGTAAAATCAACTTTTAAAAAAGGAAGTCTGTTCTGGCATGATGAAACGACAAAAGGAAAAGAAGCATAAACCATGAAAGCTGCGCCATAATCTCTAAAACACCTTTAGGCCTTAAATTTCATCTTTTAAAAGAAAAAATGAAGACATTCAATGAAGAAATGTGATTCAATCATCGAAGTCTTTTTTACCACAATGGTTCATTTTTTGTCAAGGAAACCAAGATTTATTTCCTTCACGACAGGAATTGTCTGTTTTCTCTCCAAATATGTACCCTTATATTATTTTTGGCTTTCTTGGATCATTCAATGATGACTCGCATTTATATTCTATTAGTTTGACTGTCAAGATTGGATTTACAAAATGAAAGTTTCATGATGTTATTTCAAAATTCAAAAGTTGGTTGCCCTAACGTGTTATTTATATAAATGAAACTCAAAAGAAAAATTATTATGCTTTAACTTTTAAAGTCACATGAATTATTCCGTTGAATCAAGTAATTTAAACAATTATCTCAATACAACTTTCTTTTTTTCAGCTTGAATTATTACATTAAGTTTGTTCTTGAGACAAACTGTCTCAAATTCGTTTTGGATATTTTGTACCGTTATATGTTTTTGTTCAGATGCTTAGGAAAGGATTCTGCAAATAGTCAAAGTTTATAAGAAAGATGAAACGTGACTTAGGAGTTAACGCGTTTAACCAGTAATCTAAAGATTGTTGACCACGTGGGATCATACACCGTCATAATTTTTTTTAATGGATGATGATTTTGTACTTTCTCTTGACGTCTATGAATATCATTCAAACCATGTCTGCAACATTTTAAATTATGACACCTTTCCGACCTTCTAGGGTGGGGGTGGGTATTTCTTTCTATTCAAAATTTTTTTCAAAATATATACTCTTAGATTGATGGCTTCATAATTGATTTTTTTCCTTTTTATTTTATATGTCTCGATATTTCAATTGAATTTTCAAAGATTTGTTATTTTTTACATTTACAAATTAGTTTAAAACGTTTTTATTGTTAGAGTTGTTCTTACAGACATCTTATAAAATTCTGATCAATTATTATACTTAACCTTCACAAACAAATTATTTCGTGTTATCAAACAATTTTAACAAGTATCTCTATAAAAAAATATTTTCTAATTTTGTTTCAGCTTCACATTGCATTATTAAGTTTGTCCTTGAGTTGAGATTAATTTTGTTTTAATTGTTGTTGTTTGTTTGTTTCATTTAATATGTCTTAATACAAATGTCTAGCAAACGCACCCGAAGGTGGTACATGTACAAGTAATCAGACGTAATGATAAAGTTATATTTTTGTTAAAAGGAAGAAAGAAAAAAATGATTTAAGTACGTTTTTGGTTTTTCTTTTATACCCGCTCGTATATCACCACTTTTGAAGAATAGGAATATTTTCTAAGAGTGTCCGGGAATTTCCCATTCGGGATTACTATCTATCTTTATACAAAAAAAACAAAAACATTTATGTCGAAATTTGGATACTATATCCTGTGGTAAAAGTACTTTAAAGAGAGTAGCCAGCGACTGGTGTGCGCACTGAAATTCAGATCAAAGCGGTTATTTTTTAATATAGATACGCAAGGAATACTATGTATCAATTTGTGTGTGTTTTTGTCTTTTATAATTTAGGAATTTCCGTTACTTTATTTTGTCGTCACGCATTTTGGCAAAACAACTACTAGTAATGAAAGAAAGAAAACCACTTTTAAAAGCTCATAAGCAGAGTGTCTTCAATATGCAGCGAATAATGTCATACATTTTAATATTTAGAATTGTACTTATTTCATCGATATTCATTATTTTGAAATAGCAAGTTAATGTTCAAAGAGAACACATCTGAATTGATAAGCCATTGATCTTTGAGTGAAAATACAGTTCGTACAAGTTTTACAGATATGCAGACCTAAATGTAAATAAGAATCTATGCTGTCAGC